ACAGGGGGCTGGAGAAGTGAGATCATGCCCCAAAGGCACATCTTGGTAAGCTTGACCCTGGGAAAGTATTTTAACCTCTCCACATCTTCATGTGTAAAATTTCTGTTGAGCATTGTTCTGAGCTCAATGCTCTGTTGGTGGCTGAAGATAATACATTTGACAAGTCACATAGAGACACAGTCCCTGCCCCAAGAAATTTACTGTCCAGCAAGGGAGATGGTCATTCATCATATGGTCACAACATAATAACTAACATAATGAATTAACATCTGAAATGTGCTTATGGTGGCTTGACAAAAAGTAAGTGCTCACAGGGGCAATTTAAATTAGTCATAATTGTGATAAGTGCTCTGAAGGGGGCTCTGGGAGTACAAAATAGGAAGTACTGACAACTCTTGGTAGTTGGTGAGGAAAAGCTTACCTGAAGAACTGACTTCTAAGCAAAGACCTCATGGTTGAGAATCAACCAGCCACTGGAGAGTGATTCAGGTGGAGGGAACAGCAAGGGAAAAACCTGAAGGAGGAGACAGCGTGGAGCACTGAAAAACTAGAAGAACACAGGCAACCTGGGGTGTGGATTACAGAAGGGGAGAAGGGTGAGGAGCTCAACTAGAAGGACTGGAACGTTGGGGGGAATTTAGATTTGTCCTGTTGGCACGGGGAAGACAGGGAGGGTCTTGACATGCTTTGATGTGTCTCTATCCCAGTTCTCCACTTTTTGGCCCCATCCAGAGAAAACCTCTAGTCCCAGACTCCTCTTCATTTAGTAGAAAGGAAGACCCAGAGAAACTAATCCTTAGTCTTGAGACCCATCAGTGACTTCAGTGACCCAGGGCCTGGGCTCTGCCCTGTGCAATGGCCTCCTCCCTCACTTCATCTTCAGTGAGAGTTGAGGGCCATGTGGTGGGGTGAGAGACAATTATCCATTCAATAGTCCTGTGCTATGTTTAGAGAGAGACAGAGAGGTGAGGAAGTATGGACAGAGACAGACAGATAAGGATAGAGTGAGTGAGAAACAGAGAGAGGGACAGAGAGAGACACAGAGGGAGATAGAGACAGGGGAGACAGTGGTGGAAAGAAACTCAGAATGAACACGAGACAATAGAGGGAGGAGGGGAGAGAGAGAAAGAGAAGGAGGGAGGAGGAGGAGAGAGAAGGAGGGTAAGGGGGAAGAGGAGGGAGTAAAACAGAAGAGAGAGAAAAAAGAGAGTGACATAAGCAGAGAAGAAGAAATAGTAAAGGAGAGAAAAGGGATCTGTAGAGGGAGATGAGAAATGAGAGAGAGAGAGTTGCAGACAGGATCAGATCCAAATAGACAGAGACAGGGAGGTAAACAACATGGAAGAAAGCAGAAAAAGAAGAGACACAGAGAAACAGTGCCTGACAGGAGACATAGACAGAGAAAAAGACCAGCCCAGACTGCCATGGGCAGAAGGAAAGACAAGCCAAGCCAAAAGGTATTCGAGTCACAGGAATACCAAAGCTTGTCCAATGGAGAGTCCCAGGGATGGGGAGGATGGGTGGGAAGCAGATAACAGGCGTCAGGCTGTTCTGGAAAGAGCTGGGTCCCAGAACCAGTTACAGGAGGAGAAGCAGCCTGGAGACCCTCCCCAACTATTTCTAAGCTCATGTTTCCTAACTTCTGGACGTGCCAGAAAGATGTGGACCCTTCCCCAGATAGCTCCACATGGGCACAATGTCTGTCAACTTGAAAGGTCTAGCAAATGCTTGGAAACCCGTCCTTGATGTGACCTTCCATGGTTGTCAGCATGCAGGTGATGATCCACGGACGTTAAGGAGGAGGATCTCAGTGTCTCTGCCTGAGTTTTCAGCTCCCTTTTTCCTCAATTCTCTCCAAGTCCATGGTTTATAACCCACTGAGGGGAGTGGGTCTTCACACATTTGAGAATCTGATGGAAGCCATACACTCCCATGGCAAGTGCATCACTCTCATTCACAATTTTACGTACACTCTGCGAATTTTTCAGAACTCTTGAAGCGTGTGGCTCTGTGGTTAAGATAAGAAGACATCCCTGAGGGGCCGGCCCCGTGGCGTAATGGTTAAGTGCATGCGCTCTGCTGCTGGCGGCCCGGGTTCGGATCCTGGGCGTGCAGCGACGCACCACTTGTCAGGCCATGCTGTTGCGGCATCCCACATAAATTAGAGGAAGAGCAGCACGGATGTTAGCTCAGGGCCATTCTTCCTCACAAAAAATAAATAAATAAATAACTTAAAAACAACAACAAGACATCCCAGAGATAGATACTCACACACAGTGCCAGGGACACACCGCACACACACTCCCCACCACACACACCCAGAAACAAACACAAAGCACTAACTACATTTATGGGATCCTAAATAGGAGCCAGAAGAGAATTCTAAGAATTTTTACAAATATTATTTATTTACCCTCACAATAGCCCTATGAGATAGCTACCATTCTCCCCATCTTAGAAATGAAGGACATTAAAAATGTTATGCCAGAAATAGGCACACACATACATGTGGATGCTGACGTGATGCACACACACACACACACACACACACATCCAACCAGAATTGGGTCCTTAGATTCTGCGGGGCCACTGAACCCTTTGGAAATCTAACAGAAGCTACAAACTCTCTCCTGGAAAAATGTGCAAGGCACATCCACCAAAGATTCGCACCTGGATTCACAGGGTTTGGAACCCCCTAAAAATCCACCCTGGATTGCAGGTTAAAGGCCAAACTCATGCCAATCTGTTGCAATGGACACCGTTGTTGGGGCTTGGGCATGTGACGGGGCAAAGAACATGCACCTGCCTCATGCCCGCATTGATCATCATCTGTGCCCACAGGGAAGCGCATTTGTCTTGGCGAAGGCATCGCTCGTATGGAATTATTCCTCTTCTTCACCACCATCCTCCAGAACTTCTCCGTGGCCAGCCCCGTGGCCCCTGAGGACATCGACCTCACACCCCAGGAGAGTGGTGTGGGCAAACTGCCCCCAGTGTACCAGATCAGCTTTCTGCCCCGCCAAGGGTGCTGAGGAGGGGGGTCTAAGGATTCCAGGGTCATGAAGTATCCCCACCTCTGCAGAGACTGGCCCCTGACTCTCTCCATGTCTTCCCACTTCCCAGAGACACACTGCAAGCTTGTATCCTTCCCCTCCTCAGTTGCCGCCTCCATGGGAAAGTCCTTTCTTCCGTCTCAGCTCCTTCCATCATGCCGCAGCTCTTCTAAAGACTCAAGGAGGTGTTTTCCTTTCCTCTATTAAAAGATTTCCAGAAGTGGTGTATATATAGAAACGGGAGCTAAAAGAGGAAACCTGGCTCACGATCTCTGCAGTTCTGCCTCCCAGGCCCCACAGCCCACCCCGAGTGACTTCCTTCCCCAGAACAACCACAGCCTCCATTTATCAACTCCTTGTGCTCCATGATCTGTGCATACATGACTACACTAGAATCCTATCCAGTTAGCCCCTGTGGTGGGTGCAGTGATCATGCCCACTTTACAGATGAGTAAACAGAGGGCAGAGAGTGACATCAGTTGTCTGAGGTCACAGGGCTAGTGAGTGGAGGCGCAGGATTCACACTGTCTGCCTGGATCTAGAACTCAAACTCTTCACCACAGCTCCTTCTCCCTCAATCTATATTTTAAAATTAAGATGAAATTCACAAAACTTAACCATTTTAACATGTATAATTCAGTGGCATTTTGTTCATTCACAATGTTGTGCATCCACCACCACTATCTAGTTCCAAACATTTTCATCACCCAGGAGAAAACCCCACACCCATTAGCAGTCACTCCCCATTCCCCTTCCCCTCAGCCGCTGGCAAATACCAGTCTACTTTCTGTCTCTGTGGATTTGCCTGTTCTGGACATTTCATACAGACAGAATCACACAGTCTTTTGTGTCTAGCCTCTTTCACTCAGCAGAGCTTAAGCACAAAATCTTTTAATTAACTAGGAGAATGTCATTTAAAGTTATCTGATACTATGGTTGTTTATTCAATCCACATCTGAATGGGGCTCCGATGGCATGTCTTCAAGCAATAGGCTCATGCCTTTGCTTCACATATTAATCAGTCCAATTGTTGGATACGTAGCCAGCTTCCCCTTTCTAGTACATCTGGGTTACCTTGGTGGGTTTTTCCCTTTCAAGGTACAGATTGCAAAGCTCTAAAACAATTTATTATGATGGAGAGGTCAAATTCCAATGTTCGGGGCCAGCCCGGTGGTGCAAGCAGTTAAGTGCACACTCTCTGCTGAAGTGGCCTGGGGTTTGCTGGTTCGGATCCCAGGCGCACACTGACGCACCGTTTGTCAAGCCATGTTGTGGCAGCGTCCCATATAAAGTGGAGGAAGATGGGCATGGATGTCAGCCCAGGGCCAGTCTTCCTCAGCAAAAAGAGGAGGATTGGCAGATGTTAGCTCAGGGCTAATCTTCCTCAAAAAAAAAAATTCCAATGTTCACATTTCATCTGATGTTACTAAGTATGATCCTGAAACTTGGCCAATAGCCAATACTATTAATGGTACAGGACACAGTTATTCCTTTTCTGTTGCTCAAACTATTCCATTTTCCCACCTGAAAAAGTTTTTGCCACTAAACAAAAGAAATTGGATTCTACCACAAGAACTATGGGAGATTTCACACAAATCTGGAAAGGATTTGTTATTCTCACTCCTAGTTCTGGGTCTTTAAGTACATGAGCACCTTTATGTTGGAACAGAGAAACAAAACTTACCTAACTGTACCCGAAACATGGGATAGATATCCCTGGAGACATGTCAAAATAATATCATTCTTTTTATATTATTATTATTATTTTACTGTGGTAACGTTGGTTTATAACATTGTATAAATTTCAGGTGCACATCATTATTCTTCTAGTTCTGCATAGATTACAGCATGTTCACCGCCCAAATACTAATTACAATCCATCACCACAAACATGTGCCTAATCATCCCTTTCACCCTCCCCCCTTCCCCCTTCCCCTCTGGTAACCACCAATCCAATCTCTGTTTCCATGTGTTTGTTGTTGTTTTTATCTTCTACTTATGAGTGAGATCATACAGTATTTGATGTTCTCCCTCTGACTTATTTCAATGAGCATAATTCCAGCAATGATCCATGTTGTCACAAATGGCTGGATTTCATCGTTTCTTATGGCTGAGTAGTATTCCATTGTGTATATATACCACATCTTCTTTATCCA